TTCGTATTATTTAAAAACCCTTAAGATTTAGGTATTATAAACCTTATTAAAACAGACACTTATTTTGTTCAGCGAATCCAAAAATGCAATAATATACAACTTTGATACCTTTAGAGCCTGTGGGACACCCTGTATATTACAAAAATATTTTCAAAATGTGCACTCGGTAGGCGTCGGACAATTCATAAAATAATACTTTTTAAAAATCAAACGGGAATAACCCTGTATAAAAGACACCAATTCAGCGTCAGGATGGTTGGGTTTTCAGGCTTGGTATCGACGTTTCTAACGAATCTTTCCACTGATGACACCTATTTTGTGATGGTCCGAGCGGCTAACGATGTTGGTATTGGCCAACCGTGTCCGCCTATTATCGTGCGGACTTTTCACATGTCGAAAAACCCCAATGGCATGCTGAATGGGTCAGATGTAGCCGGTAAACAGAGACTTGGTAAACTGCTTCCAGCTCAACGTGCTCTAATGGCTAATGATGTTTTGCGGGCTTTCAGGAATCATTCTCGGAATTTTAATGGCGGCTCTATGCATTCTGTGCTGTGTGTCGTTCATTTTATTGAGGAGGCGATGCTTGAAGAGGCGAGCGAATACGCGAGCCCGCTTGGCCATGTCCAGCAACTATCATCCGGTTGTTGCCCATTACAGATCGCAACTCGGCACCGTTCAAGTCAGGTTAGTCCGATCGTTGCTTGCCTTCTTCAATGGGTTTCTGTATCAACTCAACTATTGCCGCCATAGAATGGATGAGCCATGCTCGATCGCCCACCACGAAGTGGAACAACTGGTAGCCGAAGAACCGTATCCACATATACCGCCGGCTACTCCCGAGCAGCTTGACACAAAGGTAGCAGCAAAATTGCCCGATTTTCCGCTCAAAATGAACTCACTTTTGTTGGCAGGGTGCCAGAGATCTTCCCAACGGTTGTGTGAACGGCATCGGCAAACAGTCTCACGTGAATGGGAAGGTACTTAATGGTGATGTCCATATCACAGAAAATCCACAGGTAAATACTCAGGTTGTTTAACTGATTGGCAGAGCGAAATTACATGCGCATCAATTGTTTCAGTATTATGCATTCGAATGTAACGGCAACTTGGCAAAAAACAAGTCAGAGCCACTGTTGAGGCACTACGAAGAGGACCCGAATTCCAATGTAAACCCATCGAAATTCTACGACTTTTATAAGTTTTTCGACAGTGCGAAACGGTGCAAACAATCCCCAGATAAAAATGGTCATTTGCCCTCGAAATCGAATGGGTCGAGTGCGGAAAATTCCCTCAATTCTACGCAGCTTTCGTTCCTGGATGGTTCAATGGCCAGTAATAGGCGGTTGTCACCAGTACTCGAACCGAATGGTTAACCGACGGTAAACGCAAATTCCGTTGTTGCTTCTAGAGAAAATTTTCAATATTCAAAGCCTTACAATAGATAGAAAATGGTTGACCATATTCTTAACCGACTGATTTTTACATTAAGTATTTAAGGCTGTTGCTAACAGCTTACCAGAAACTATTTATCGAAATGTTGCGAATGCTTTTGGGAAAGTACCGGACCGTTCAGGACATTTTCTCTGATAGGAACTCTAGTTTTCTATCTAGTCTTCTTAGTTTTTAGGCTTGGGGCGCTTCTGTTCCAGGATATCTGGTGCGCTAATCACGCAAAATAAGGAAAACTAGGCTCAATTGCTTGGTCCCAAGAAAACTCTGAAATCGCCTAGGAAAGAACGCTGGTTGAATCAAACTCTCGTGAGTTTGTCTGCAATTTCTAAAGTTTGCATTTAAAAATTGGGAAAATCGCAGAATTTTACTCTGACTACTTTCGACTTCGTGCTTTTTTTGGTCTTTTAACTGGAAAAGTGTCGAAAACCACTTGAGTTGGGAAGTTTGGATCACTTCTTTGATTTCAAGTTGCATTCGATCATGTGGTTTTGCTTACCATAATCATTAACGTTTGTTTCACATTCACACACTATACCAGTCTGCCCAAGGGTAACAATTTGGCGGCACATTTGTCGTTTTCCCATGAAATTTTGAGCATCTTGTAACGAAACCGTTAGGTATGAGCAGCTAAACGAAATCATTACTACATTGGTGTTTCTGAAAATAATGTACAAAATTGTAAGTTTATATGTTTATCGAATCTTGTGTGAACAATGTCTGAGAAGAAAACCGCCGTACTTCTGTGTTTTAACAAGATCTATCTAATATGTGTTTATGTGTAAGCATGTTGGATTTTGCTATATTATTGCAAAGCATGCGAAAATGATTCGAAGTGGTGATGGTGGATGGGATTTCAACAACTTTGCAATAATCCGAAAATAACAAAGTCTGCAATAATTACGTATGTGGTAAGTTTGTGTTTAGATATAACAGGAAATCTTCGGAGTACCCAAAATACGCTCCCAAAGCAGACACAGTTGCTCAAATATGAAAATGGTTGCTTTCATATTTTTATATCCATGTAACAAATTAATTCATTTCCCTTAAGAGGACTTGAAGATTTCGAGTCGACCTTTATATTGTTAGCTTTTTTTGGATCTGGTTCATTGATCTGATTTGAATACATTTTGCCCAACGCTTCGAATGGCAAAATTTATTAAAATGAGTACAATGTTTTCTGTAACAATTTGAAATATGAAATATGTACCTGACATACCTAACATATATACAGTTAGTAAGATTTTTTGTACAGTTAGATGTAATGTTAGTTTTAAGTGCGTGATTGGATATGCGAGCGTGCGAATGATATTAATTTTTAACAAAACAATCAGACCAAACATTTGCACCTTTCCATAATGTGTTTGCCTGCGCATCACTGAAGGGTTCTTAGTTTTGGCCTGACACAAGTGTTGAATCAGTACTGATTGTGTTGATTGTTCTTGAAAATATTACATATATGCAACGTTACCAGATTATCCAGGTTAATTTAAAGGTTGTTAAAAGGCCGCGTTTGATTTGCGTCAAAAAAATTCAGAATTCCCCACTTGAGTGTGGTTAACTATGTAAACAGTAGACCCTTTATTTATGTGATTCGATCGTCTAGTTTAACAACCTTTAATCTATGTAATATTTTATCCAAAGATTAATAGCAATTGTGGCTTTAACTTGACTCAACAACTCAAAACTCATCGGTGTCTACATGTTTAGTCGATGTATGTATATGTGTGTTAACTTTCTTGGCTTTTTCTACGCCAAGAAGATCGAATCATCCGCACTTGAGTTGCGTTAAAGTGACCATAAATCCTTAAAGTACAGTCTTAAAAAATATTACATTTTATAAACTCGAATTACATCATTACATGTTTCAGAATTAATTCCGATTTAAAGTTAAAATAACACTTGAGGTGTGCCTTCGCTATGTGTGTACAAAACCAAAAGAAATAATAGATTTGAAAACAACGACTTAGTTAATATTTGTATATAAAAGTCATTCTAAACAACAGATATACAGAGTGGTTGTAGCTCCAAAACCACACTAGAAGTTCAATTTTTATCATGTAATGGGTTTCGGGCTATTTCGCACCCTGTTTTGTTCAGAATTTTTGATCAATTCACATTGCAATAAAACGTTTTTGTTGTATGTTCGCGTATGAAAGCAAAAATCGTCTGATTTTTCACCAGCTATATTGTGGGCAGTTGGACGATTTCTTCGTAGGCGAGTTCACATATTTATTTTCAATGATAAGCTTCGACAGATAAAATGAATAGGAACAAACTTGGAAGTTTTAGCTACTTTTCAATGAAAAAATTATAAATTAAAAATTCAAATTGCCGATTTGGACGATGGTTTGCTGTTTGAAGTTTGCCATAGAGCTTGAGCCCACCACTCTACAGGGGATAGTAAGTTTACTCTTTTGATATACGGGTAAAAAACCAGTAAAGATAGAGATTTCATAAATCTTAGCAAGAAAAAACGATCACTTAAAGAAAAATGGGACACTAATAAGTATTAATGTCCAATTTTTCTCTTCTAACTCAATTAGGCGTTCAGTTATTGCAAACTATTGAAGTTATAGAAAACGTAAAAATTCATGAAAAACCCAAGATCGACTCAGAATTTCAACATTGAATTTAGCTTTCTAGTTCTTCATCTATCGATAGAGTAAAATTACGCAATTCCCTGTATAGGCAGATTCTTTAAAAAATCCGATGCAAAACCAATGACTTGAAAGTGTAAGATATTTTAAGAAAATAAAATGCTCAAATATTATTAAACATCGGTATGTACATATAGCGGGTAGAAAATCATAAGGTAAAACGAAAATTTATCATAATAGCCGATCACTGTGAAAAGTTGATTTTCTTAATTAATTTTTCCTACATACCTACTTAATAGTTTTCAGGGTTCCACAGTAACAATTTACCTCAAATACATTCCTTGTTACACAAATACAAATAATTATTTTAAGATTCTCCCTCAGTTACTGTTTCACTGTGTTTAAACCAGTATTTGCTTCACCGATAGAATTCGCGTTCACTTAACATTCCATTTTCAGTCTAAGCAACGTTACCAGGCCGAAATGCAATATTTCTGAATGAGTAGAAACACCATCAATTGTTAAACATTCCGATGTAAACCGGTGTACAAATGAACTATCTGAAGCAATATGCTTTTCAACAATTTTAATTTCTGTGCTTCGATTTTATTTATATAGATATATCGCTCTGGCTGTTGGTTCTATTTGACATTGAATTTGCTGATTTCACTATACCACCCTATCTTGTTCAATAGCCCCGTAATGATTGTTTCCATATACGTACAAGTAAAAATGTCTTCATTAGTTACCTTCAATCTGTTAATTTATTGTTTAGTTTAACATTATTATTTATCCAAAGTAATTTTAATCGTAATGTTCGCTTTTGTGACGTGTCAATTAATTTCAACGGATACTAGCAGTTGTGAAGAAATTGTTTTTTTTTGTTTATTGACTAATCAGCTCCTCAAATGAGTTGTTTGTGAAGCAATAGAAACCATCTTCTTTGTTGACACCTCACGTTTGAGAAGAATACTTAGTTAATTTTAAGGCAAGCATCTACCTCATGTAAAAACTAATAATGTAGTCGTTTATTTACTTTGTCCTAATATTCTTAATTAAACATTAGGTCTTGTTTAAGTCGCCTTGCGTTGTAAATTCATTAGATGATGACAGAGTTGTTATAGTGTTTAAGTTGTGTTACGATCTTAGCAAGTAAGATGAATTGCTTTTAGGTATGTTGAAAAACCAAGTTCCCATTGCATTCAACAAAAAAACCCGTGAGATCTGATGAAAATGACAAAACTAAACTGTACCCATAAGTCTGATTAGTTGAGGCTGCTGCGATATTCTTAGCGATAATGGTCTTTTATTTTTTCCTACGACTTTAATTCATGTTTTAAAGGGATTTGCTAACACTTGTTTTACAATAGATACTCTTTGGTGCTGGATTTGTCGAATGTCTTAACGGCCATTCGGCAACTTAATTGTTGATCCTACTCGATGTGCAATAAGTTCAAACGTTTCCTACTACATATATTTTGAGCAGCTTTAACGAATTGTTTTTAGCAGTCCCTATAAGGTTGAATACTAAATGTTAACTTTTTGTAAGATGGATTTACTGTGGCCAGCGAATACAGTTTTACCACGACATTCACGGCCACAGTAAATCAATTTGTGTACTTTACTGTTTGTTGTGGATTAAAACTGTATAAATATTTAAAATCACTGTGTAAACATGTTATATTTTTGTACGCTTGAATGAATGCATTATGAAATACATATATTGAAAATAATTTCGTTTTTTGTTCGGCGCTTTGACCGAACCATGTTTAAAGTTGATATCCTTACTTTATAGATATTCTCTTTGCGAACTCCTTGTTCTTTTTCCATACTATAACAGCTTTCAAAGATGGGAGAGTCTTTCGGTGCACTTGAAACAGACTTCAAATGAGCACTTTTTGGTTCAGTTTGATATCATGACAGCAAACGTCAGAGTCGCAAACACAAAAAAGCCCGTTTTTTTGGTAAAATTCCACTACCGGCCACGAAATTAGAATGAAACGGCAAATTAAAACTTTCTCCTTCAGAAAATACTCGCGTTTCCGCACAAAAACTTCGAAAATACGTGATTTTTATAAATCCTGACGGAGCGAATCCTAAAGTGACTTTCCTATCCACCATTAAACAAAAGACTGTCACGACAAAATGACATGAAACTCAAGGTGCGTAGTATTTACGAAAACAATTTCAACAAGTACTGAAAAAAATAGTCAAAACTAACGCAAATATAGACAAAATGTGCTTGAGAAGAAACAAGTACAAGGAAAATATAGAATTCGTAAGTGCGCGATGTTTTTTGAAATTCGTCGCGTGACATCGATATGACACAGCGTGGCGTTCTTTATTATTTTATGCTAAAGTAGTGAATATTTTTTCTGCTGAATGCTCCCAGAATCTTCGATGACTCATCGGGCGCCATTTTTTCCATCGGTTTCAACGTTCGATCAGTTTTACGTGACAGTCGTAGATAAAGACAAGTGGTGACAGTAAACATCAAAATTGCTCTGAGCATAACCTTATTTCGTTACTGTTTTCCTTTATCTCAGTTTACAGTTTTTACCAATATTTATAAATGAGCGCCATGTAATTTCCGTTTGGAGACATTCACAATGTTATTCGCTTGGTTGTTGTTCAAGTTAAAGTCGTTTTTCCTTGTGTTCTCCAATGTGTTTCGAAGAACCCTGTGCTGCTTTCGCAAACGAAGAAACAGCTTCTCTGAGACAGTGCAACTGACTCATGTGGTCACCAGTGGCTCAGAGGATCCGCCCACTTGGTCGGATTGGGGCAACGATCAGTTCAGAGACAACAAGCCGAAGACTGTGCATGATTACATCGAACAGTATAGAGAGCAGGCAGTTAAGGCCCGAACTGGGGAGACTGCAGATGGAAACGCTGAGGATCGAGAGGATTATTTCGAGGACATGACCCCCCAAATCAGGAGGCAGGCGAAAGTTTTGATTGGAAACAGGAACGGGAATGGCGGCTCTAATGTGAATAGCAGACTTAGTGCCATTCAGGATCCTCTGAATGTGGCGGTAAGGGATTGTTTGCGTTGTTGAGCTTGTCTAGAAAGTACGTTTTGCAGACTGGGGAGCTGCTGGAATGGGACGAAAATGGGGGCTGGGCTGGCGAACAGCTCTTGGATGAAGAGGCTCAGAAGATCCTCAGAGAGCAAAAAAGACTGGAAAGGGAACGGAAGGCCTGGGCGCAGCACCAAAAACGACTGGAGAAGTCCACAAGGACCTTAGGCTCAAAGTTGGCAACGTAATAATGAAAGGACCATCCTGGAATGAGGTTTTTTATATTAAATAAGAGAAGATGCACATTTAGGTAGGTCCCAAGCATTCCTGCCACTTTATAGAGGCTTTTCCTGATATTTTAATTATTTGTTATTTTATATAAATTCATTAATGACAAAGCAACACTACTGAATAATACTAAATCACTATAAGCAGATTATTATGTACGCATGCATTTTTGCCTCTTGGTGGATTTATCCAGCTCGCACTTTTCAAACGGATTGCATTTTACATTTCCGCAATAGCTGCCAGTGGCTGTTTCTGCAAAAAATATGAAAACAATATTTCCAGTATTTTGCTTGATCCCTTTCATACTTGAATGTTGGTTTTTGTATCCGTCGTTTTTAGTAGATTCCAGCAAGTGATCCGGCACGCAAGACTTAGTGTTGCAAATGTTAGGGCAACACTTTTTCCCATGGCATTGTGTGTCGTCCTTACATTTTGGGGAGCACGAACTCATTTTATTCGAAGGAGGGCAAGCATCTGAAATGCCAATAAAATCCTTGGTTTTGCTGCTAGCTGTATATTTTGCTTAATTTACTTACAATCAACTGATGTTGCCCAAGAGAAGCACAGCATAACCAGCAGAAGGATGCTGAACATTTTCGCTGAAATCACAGTTTGTTGCTGATGAAATTCACAGTAGAAGCCACTTAATCTACTCGTTTAGCCATTAAATGTTAATGGAAGTTTGCCTGCATTTTTCCACGAAGCGCTGTAATTTGGCTTCTAATTTAGCCACTTGTTAATGGGAAGCCGCATTTATTTATGATGCTAATTGAAGGATAATGGCAATTGCACGATTTCGTGATTTTCATTCACGTTTAGTCTTAAAGGCGTACTTAGAGTCTACTTTTATTACCTTTGATTGCTTTAAAGTAGCTATTATTTAAATGTTGAGGGAACAAAAGGTAGTTTATGGTTTTTCAATTTCGCAATGAATTGACCAAGTTTAAGGCAAAATTCCCTAATCTTTGATTGCCAAACAAAATAGAAAACAACACAAAACTTACCGATCATCCTGTAAACGATTTCGGTCACTCTGAACAAGTTGTAACAACTAAAGACTCAACAGCCACCTTCCCGTTTGTAACCTTGCGGCTTAACTGAATAATTGCAAGTCGTTTTTAAAGGTTTGTGAATTTTAATTTATTCCGTCCCAGTTTGCTTACTTTTTAGCCTCGAGTGGTCTGCAAATGACCGTTTGCTTTGTCTACTTCGAGTTCGTCTTAATTGCTTCCATATAACCGAACTTGCACACAAGCTAATGTGTTTACTGTTCTGAAGATATGTGATTAGAGATTGTTGGTTTTTACTGCTAGTCACACTTATTTACATCGTTAATTGTGTGTTTGATTTTGACTTGATAAAGATATTTGTGTGAGTGGAGATTTAAACGGCAATATACAGTTTTATATATCTTCACCTTATTGAGTTAAATTCTACTTTTGTTGTTTTTGTGTTTTTTTAACATTGCAGTTCCAAGTTCATTGTTGTGAAACATTTCTTTAGAGAAATTGGTTCAGTACATAAACAATTTTTTTTCACCGATAGTTTTTTGTCTCTTCAAACAGTTCTATAATTAGAAAAAGATCCAGTTAAAGCTAATAATTGTATTCGACTCCAAACAGGCAGGTAGGAGACGAGGAGAAAAAATCTTGAAACCTGCAAGATTCACTATGTCCCTGTATAGAGCCTTTAGTAGGATGGTTAGTAATAAAACTTAACTATTATTCATAACACATTGTATGTATTTAATAAAATGTACAAAATATAAAATGATGTATAAAAGTTCGCATTCAACACATATCGAGTTCAAAGGACAGGAAATAAATAAATTACAATAAGGGGCCGATAAACATAAATATTATGTTTGCAGAAGAACACTACTAAACAACCATGTATAAAGTATAAAAACAATCCATTCATCGATTCCATTGGAGTATTGCGTTACCTAACTACCTTACGAGTATTAATAATACAAAGTAACTTTTAATGGTGTTTCTAATATAAAAAATGTATTTGTATATGATTGGTCGATGTGAATTCTAGTACTAATACTAACTTGAAGTTCCCATGCATTACCACCTAGAAAATGGGGCTGTATTCTCTACACGGTCTACTTTTGGTGATGCGTTTTTGAGATCATGTTGCAGGGTTGTAGTTAATGTACTCGTGAGAACTGGGAGGACCTGGTAGGTTCATGTAATTATTCTTAGGGGTTTCTGATTGAGCGTCATCGAATCCTGCAAAGCCAAACAATCGGTATTGCCCAAAACACCAATAAAAAATCGTCATTCCTACCTGAAACTGGTTGTCCATTAGGGGGAAACTGAATGTAAAACTGTTCAGAGATTGATAAAGTATCAGGCCTGGAAACCGGCTTGTTTTCCTCAATGGTTTCAAAGTGGTGCATACTGGAGAACTTTACTGGCTTTGGTACCGGCACTGGAGTATAATTTAGCTCCAAGTTCGTCTTGCTAAAGTCCAGCTCTTTGAAGTCATTGTCCCCTTGACTGTTGCTGATCATCAGCTAAAATCGTTGTTTAGTTGAACTATTTTTTATGCACAAATAAAATGCTTAGGTACCTTTCGGTCTTCGTTATCCGAATGAGTGCCGCTATCGCCTACACTGCACCCGCTAATGGTGCTCATTCTTCCACTAGATCCACTCGAAGAAGTGCTCAAGCTGCTGATTGGCCGGGCGCTTTGATTGAGCGCTAAAGCCGGCCCGGAAATCACATTTTCCGAAGTGATTTCTTCCGATTGTTCATCGGTTTTCGACTGTCTGGAAAACAGCTTCATAAACTTGTCCACTGGAGAGGACTTCTTGGTCTTGGCTTTGTATTCCTGCTGCATTTTCTCGTAGCTTAAGCGCATCTGGTTTAGCTGATCCTGCTTTTCTTTGAAGGACTTTTGGACATCGTTTCGGTTTTTCCATTCTTCCACCAGTTTTTCAACCTGCAATTCGGACAAACCAAAGGGTCATTTAAGTAAACACTGGACAGAATGGCTGAGCGCTTACTTGCGCCAATGAGTGGACGTTGTTCTTGAAATCCGTAATAATTTCCGCTAATTCTCGCTGAAATTTGTCCTCCACAATGGCATTTGCTTTGCGCTTTCTGGCGTTGGGTGAAGGGGATCTGTGGTTTTGCCTGTCGAGCTCTTTTTTGGGACTAGTTGGCTCGTTTTCTGACTTGCGGAGATCTTCGCGTGAAAACGCTATTGCTGTAATTGAGCAGGAATTAGCCGACGGCTTTTCTTCCCAGTCCGGTTGGTTTTTACCTGTTCTGTCCATTGCTAAGTATAAGGAGCTGCCGCACTCGCTCGATGGGGTGACAATGGGAGTTGGACAGCTTCTCATCATCTCAGGATTAACCGGCCGCGGGGCCGGGCATAATTTGTAGAGATTGTCGATTTCTCGCGGCTTCAAGTAACCTTCTTCATCTAAAATAATCGCTCGCTTAGCAACGAGACTGGGAAATCTTGCACAAAATTTAAGTACCTTCTTCGGACTTGCTTCGCAAGCTGAAGTGCTTCAAGGTGGTATAGCAGGAGGTGACTTCATGCATGCTCTTATAGTTCTTCAGCGTGCTGGAAAGCGAATTGTGGCCGCTGGAATCGGCAATTTCAATCGGGGTCATTCCGAACACGTTTCGCACTTCATAGGCAATCTCAGCTCCTGGACAGTCCATTAGTTGGGCAGCCAGCTTTTCCAGACCGAATTTTGCGGCAAAGTGGAGCAGTGTGGGAAACTCTTCATTGCCTAAAAATGAGTCAATCAATACACTGCTGTTGGCTGAAAGTAGTTTGTTTTGTAAAAGCTACAGTTATGACAGTTTGCAGCTGGGTGCAAAGGACACAACCAAAAGTACTTGCGGAAAACACACTGTTTTTCTTTAGCCAAAGATTTTTTGCTCTGAAAATTATGCACATCCTATATAGTTGATTTTTTTGTTGAGTTTGAAAAATATTTTTAAAATACGCACCCGATAGGCGTCGGACAATTCATAAAATAATACTTTAAAAAAATCAAACGGTTTAGCCGCAAACTTCCGTGCCGTATAGCGTGAATAACCCTGAAGAAGACACTTGACTCTCTGTGCTGTGAAAGGTTCATTCAAATCCCACTAAAATCTGATTTTTGCGCGCTCTATAAACGCAGGTCTAAATATGGAAGGTTTAACTAGTCAACTGCTCGCTGTTATTTAAAAGTTCCGAAATCCGAATCAATTTCTCCCCAACGTGGGGAGTTTATTCGGCATTTTTTAGCAATTTTGACAATTTTTTAGCATGCAAACGGCTAAAAAAATAGCCGAAACGTTGACCCACGAAAAACAATGTTTTCCACAAATGCAACTCACTTTGTTTTCGTACAGTGATACTGGCAGAAAAGGGCGTATTGTGTGTACCAAACAGATTGAAATGTGGAGGAAGATTCTTCTGAAATCCATGCACAAGCCAACTATCCAGATGTTCCCGGTCGGCCGGGCTGAATCCCAATGTCTGCAATTTAACGGTTTAAAATCAGCTTCAGCGCCAAAAGAGGCTTTTTAATTAAAATGCGGCCGAATTAATTTAGTTTTCCGCAAAAAAACCGTCAATATAGACTCACCTGGCACATAAACTCCACCGGATTGTTCGCGGATCGTAAAATCTGTTCCAGCTCCCTAAACTTGCTCTCGCATTTAACCGGCCGGCTTCCAATAATATTTCCATTCTTCTCCACTAGGATATTCACGATCGCCGTAATATCAATCAGGTTTTCCGGCACAGTGATTTTCACTACGTATGGATTGCGCCTCTTCACCGACTTAATTTCGTGAAGTTCACCGTTTCGTTCCAGCGAAATCTTCACCAAATCGTCCTTTTGCAGCGGATGTGTTAAGATGATCGAAACGCTGTTTTGGCCCTGAAGCAACCGATTAGTATTCTACATAGTTAATTTACATAAAGCGCAAATCCCACCTGTTTGATTTTCTTGGGTGTGACGGAGAATCCGGACTTTTCTTGCGCTGTTACGGAGCTTTGTTGTTTCCAAATCTTCGACAGAATGGTCATGGCTTGGTTGAGGAATTTTTTCGTGAAAGTCTGGTCCTGATCCTGACCAACTGATTGTCTTTGCCATTGGAAGTACAGCGGCAGGGCTACAAAGAAGGAGGAAATTAGAGTCGCTTTTACTTAATAGGTGAGTGAGGAAAGTTACCATTTCTATGCGCTTCCGTAACATCGTCATCGGTTACCCCAAGTAAAAGAGCTAAAGTGCGGTCTGCTAGCAGCAGTTTTGCCAGCCCAGCGGATTCTTCCGGGTGTTGAGCAACAAAGTCCAGAAATCCTGGACAAACAACCACAAGCTGCAGCTTCACGCCAGTGGCTCCTTCAATGAACTTTTGGTCTTCGATTTTCGGTGTTAGCGAATCCTCCAAGTAGGCATTCCTGATCCTGATAAAACCCCACTTAAAGAGAAGTTTTTTTGGGTCGAATCAACTCTTACTTGAACGGGGCCTTCCGGTTCGCCTGCTTGCTAATTTGCTCGAAATATGACGCGAAATAATCCACCCATAAGTTAGCAGGTTCGCTGCTTTTCAGGGAAACTATCAAAATGTCGTCCATGTTAGCGGGCGGCTTCGAGAAATTTCCTGCAAAAAAATACATTTTTAATTAACTAACGAGATTTTTATTGCAATTTGGTTAAGCATCAAACGCGCAAATGCTAAAAGCCGCCTTATTTCCAATGAACCACAGGGAAGACTGGCATTAACAGGAATTTCCTGGCTTATCAGCGCCCGATGATAACTGAAATGTCGTTCAAAAGTAATTACAATGAATCTGAACCCCAATTTACGATAGCGATTACAGTGCCTCTTTTACTTTAACGCTAACAGTATATAATGGGTTTGAAGATAAACCGCCGATGTTTGTTACTAGCGCTTTCATACTTCTGCAAGCAAATATTGGCAACAAATCCAAATCAAATTCATTCCTGGGTTTCAGTCATTTATTGTCTCTATTTATCAATCAAAATACGTTTCGGTCTATTTT